TTTTATTCGGTTTTTTCTTAATTTCAAAATCGGGAACCGGTTTTTTTTCAAAATGCAATTTTTCGAATAACTCGGAAACCGGTTTTGGAAAAAAGACGAATAATCGAACACCCCGGTATGCAATTTTGTAACCCATTAAATTTTAGTGCAACAAAATGCAAATTTAAGTAGTTGGGACTTACCGTTGATGTTTGTAATTTTTATGCGGTGTTGCTCATTTTCCCCATACAAAAAAAAAAAAAAATTGGAACAAAATGCGCCAATAAAAAATTGGCAAAAATCAACGATAAGTGCTAGCTACTTCAGAGTTGTACTTTGTTATACTCAAATTTAATGGGCTACAAATCTGAGAACTCCAAAAAAATTTCAAAAATCTGGTTAAAATTTTTTAAATTTTTATGAACATTGCGCTCATTTACTTTAATACATCACATGGTCAAATAAATATATCGTGATGTCACTTACATAACCTCACTTTTCTTGCATGCCAATTGCGGCCATGCATTTGAGGGTAGTAGAAAAAGGTGGAAAATATTAGGATTATTTTTCTACTTTTTGGGTACTATTTCCAATACCGATTTTAATATATATGTACATATACACATATCAGTGGACTCCACACCAGTTAAATGAAGCTTGTATCCACAAAATATTTTGGCTGTAAACCAGTGTAATTATAATAATAATAATAATAGATTTGCGCTTACACATATGTTGGTGTTTGGCCGAGCTTCTCTTCCGATTTGTGGCGTGCGCCTTGATGTTGTCACACAGAGCGGAGGGACCTACAGTTTTACGCCGACTCCGAACGGCGATTGTATTTTTATGAGAAGCTGTTTTTCATGGCAGAAATACACTCGGAGGTTTGCCATTGCCTGCCGAGGGACGACCGCTGTTAAGAAAAAACCTTTTTGCGATGTTGCTTTGACCAGGGCTTGAACCCAGGTGCTGATGAGTGAAAGCGCGCACTGCTTACCACTACACCAACCAGTGTAATTAGAGTTTAATTTTTTCGCTCAAACCAAATTATTATTACTTAATTTTTATTTTTTCAATTAAATATAATGATTATAATAATTATTATTTAGTTATATTTGTCTACCTTAAAATTATTATTTGTTTAACTTAAAAGGCCACACAGTCGTACCACACACATATGATGTTAGTTAAAACTTAAAAGGTAAGGACTATTTTCCGTCCTTCATTTATTCACATTAAACCAAATTAAATAATACCGTTGTCTTTATTTAATTATTCTTAAATTCTAATAAAATTAACATATTAATCCGTATGGAATTTTATTTGTATTTTCTCCTTAAGTTCTGAAGTATGTGTATATGCGTACTAGAGGGCTGCATGAATCCATTCTAAACGGCAAATGAATCATTCATATTGAAATTAAATGAATGTGATTGGGTTTGAATTTTATTGAATTTAAATGAATAGCTTTGCTGATATGAGCCGACATTACAATATGCAAACGATGTGAAAACAAATTGAGTGAATATGATGGAATTTTTTTAATTTTTATAAATCTAAATACCTACATTTCCTTGTATTTATTGAACTTTTCTTATACATATTTTGTACTTGTATGCGCCATAAAAGAGAGTCATTAGATAAGAATCGAATTGGTTTCAACATATAGTATATTTATATTTCTATATTTGAATGCAGAAACATTATTTTATTTACATTGTCTGGGTTAAGAGCAATAGCAATAGTACAACGTTTTTCGGTTATTAAATTTCTTGCATCTGAAAAGGCTCTTTCAGAAGCCGCGCTACTTGCGGGTATACAGAAAATTTTGCAGCTCGTTTTGTATAAAATTGGAAAAAAAATTTGTTCAGATACCACCATTTAAGGCAGTCGAAGTCAGCAGTGAACGTAACATTTAGGTTTGAATAACTTTGAATCTCCTGATCCACTTGAGCCATGGCGCTGCCTACATGATTGATTTCGATAAAATCTGCGAACGCATTATCTTCCAAGATGTCATTGCTTTGTATATTTCCATCAGATCCATGTCCAATAAAGCTAGTCATCATTTCCTTACAATTTCTGATAACTTGTAGTTTTTCATCCGAAGAAAATTGTAGTAGTTTATTTGTTGGCGGAAACAAAAAATGGGCAATTTTGTGGTATTTTGTTAAATGTGGGAAAACTGTTGCCAAAATTTCATTGAGGAGAACCGATTTTACTTGAGTTATAAATTCGATATCATTTTCACCAGCAGAACAGGACTTTTTTAATTTGCTTACATATGGAATTATCAAATGTATTGTGGGCAATTTACTCCCTTCAAGCTCTTTAGAAGCATAATCAAATGGCTCTAAAGGTCCAGCGACGCAACTTAAATGGTTCACATTGAGGTTTTCTATTCTGCTTGTTTCTTTTTTCTCTTTCAAAATATTTGCTATGTCGAACCAATTTTCCTCTATTGATTTAACTAGATAAAATATTGTGTTCCAACGGGTTGGGCAAAAACTTTTCAAAGAAATTCGTAAACTTGCATTTGTTCCTGATTTTTTAAAATATTTTACAAGCTTACTGCATTTTTTTACCATTTCAGTAAGTTCAGGTACTGTCTTAACTGCTTTTTCAATAACGTTGTGTAGTAAATGGTTGATGCAATGAATGCTTTCAGCTCCTCGAAAAGCTGCAATCATGTTACTCCCACGGTCTGTCACTATGACAGGATTGTCTTCTTCAACACCACATCCAAAATTTGTTGTATTTCTTTTATCTTCCCTCGAATATTTAAACCTTGAAATAATGAAATAAAAAGGATTTAAATAACCTTGGACTCAACACATTATTGAATTGAAGAGCCATTATCTTAATGTTAATTGTTTGTCTTGTTTTGGACGTAAAATTGTAAATTTCATTAACCAATCTAAGTATTATAGTATAGCCAATATCTGTACAGAATAAAAAGGGACCGTGCTGTCCAGAAAAATATTTTAATCAAAATAAGAAAA